AACCCCCACCAGCACTACCAGTGTGATCACTGCATACACGTGCAGAGTTAAAATGTATCATAAGGCCTCGATGAGACCACATAGCCTCATGGTTAAATAACAGCCTTTTCACACAATATTACAGTTTAGGTATTACCCATCTATAGGATCTTTGTCCCAAAGACTCCTACTGACCATCCCTGCCCCAGTCTTTTTTGTCTTGTGCCTAAGCTTTAAATTCTAAGTTCACCACATGGCCTGTCTATTCATGTCTTCACAATTCAACAATCAATCACAACAGAAGCAGCATTCTTACATTTCAGCTTTTGGTTCCAGCAAATGTCTACTACTTCCTCCAACATCAGTAAAGGTGTTTGTAGTAGATTTGAATTGATACATTGTTACTATTTATCATTATTACTGTTTAGTGGTACCCTGGGCTGAACGCAGGTCCTCATGCTCACTAGGCAGGGGCTCTCCCACTGGAGCCAGGACCCCAGCCCTCTGCATGTTGTTTATTTTTGAGACAGTGTCTTGCTTTATGCCAGGACTGGTCTGGATCATGATCCCCCAATTTATGTTTCCTGGAAGAGGTGGGATGACAGATGTGTGCTACTTTGCCCAACCACTGGTTGAGATGTGGTCTTGAGAACTTACTGCCATCCCCTTGAGTAGTTGGAGTTACAGACTTGAATCACCAAATCCAGGTATTAATTTTGTTTTTTTGAGACAAGATCTCACTATGTAGCCCAGGTTGGCTTGAAACTTAAGATCCTTTTGCCTCAGCTTCCTGAGTGCTGGGGAAACAGGCATGCACCCCATGCCCAGCTAACCTATTATTTTTTAATTAAAATAATTTCAACTCCTCTCTTAGGTTATTTCTATCCATGTTTACTAAAAACAATATCTCTCTTTAGTATTTCATTACTGTATGTTTATATCTAAATAGTTTTGAGAGGTTCCTAAGGTGCCTAACAAATTTGTTCACAGCAACTTTTATCTTTATTAAGAAAGTCATACATAGTTTGATGGGAACTTCATGTTTTTCCTCACTGCAGTATGTCTTGCAGTACATATCCAGTACAGTGTCTTCAGTATTTTACACTTAAAAATTTGATTAAGATTGATGTATGAGAATTGCATTAAAATGTGTAGGATTTGCAATAGAAAATTTTGTGACTAAAATGTAAATACATGTTTTAGCTATTTGAGTTTCTGCATTAATAAATAGAAAGCTAAGAAACTGATGGCTTCTAATGTTCTAGCATATTCTGAAATGATATTTAGAAAGCAATAAAATTAAAAGTAAGCATATTAAAACTTCTCCAAAGGAATAACAATAGCACACACTATTTTAACAATTCTCAAAAATACATGTTTATCATGTCAAGTTGTATTTATGAAATCTTACATAAAAAATAGTGTACCTTTATAAACTTAACCTGTTACAGTAAAGTACATAACAAAAAGTACAAAACCTTTTCAATAAAGGCTATTCTAGTTAAAAGGATTACAAAAAGTTTGGTAACTTGAGATGCTGTTCTGAGATCTATGCTACTAGTTCAAATGTGCAAGCTCCAACTTAACAAATGTTTAAAATATTTGAGTTTTTAAAACAGTGCCAAAATAAACCACATCTTTTCTAGAGATGACATATTTAGCTAAGCACAAGCAATATAAACCTTTCAACCATTTCATGTATTTGTTTAAAAGCCTTAGAAACCACGTGCATTTCCAATAAAACACAAAATGCTGAAATCACTGGAGCCTAGCACTTACAAATTGATTTTTCAAAAGGAAAACGTAATTTTGTGTGTGTCTGTGTGGGTATGCATGTCATACATGAATAGATAGGTTAGTTGTAGATAACAGTTACCAAGAACACAGTAAAATTTGTGAAAAATCTGCATTCTATACAAGCCATATGTGATAAAACAAAATGCATGTCATGACTATTTTATCATATAATGCCTTGTTAATTATGACCATTTGAAAATGGAAACTTTAAAAAATAATTAGGATCTTTAAAAATCCTACATATAAAATGCTTTTCTATGAAACTCTATTCAACATTACAGTACAAATCTTTAATATTCTAACTTTTTTGTGAAATCTACTAATTTTATGTGGGTAAGGTAATATACAAAGGACCAACTTTATCACTGAAAAAGCATATAAAATATTTATTTATAAAGTATTTAAACCATTTAATGCTTTGAAAATAATGTTTTATTTATAAAAGTAGAATTAAAATGATCATATATTAATAGGTAACTAATAACTCTGCTATAACTGCCTATCTGTTGCTTACAATCAACCACTTGGCTTGTAACTGGTTTTATGTCTAACATTTGCTTTGAGAGGCAGAGTCAGCCTTGAAGTTTAGACTACTACTTTATAAGGTTGCACGGCTAGATTTTACCATCAGGCCAAATTAAAAGTAGCTCGTAATAACTCAAGGTTAAGTTTTTGTGAGGGCTGGGGTGCAGCACCCTGCTACAGTGGCACTGCAGAGGTGGAAGAATGTGATGGTGTTTAAGCATGCAGTTTACAGTGTCGTACTTGGCAGATGAACTGCGTATAGTCTTCAGATTGTATGAATGTATATGAATTCATGTAAGTGTATAAAAGAAATGGCACAATAATAACAGAAATTACAAGGGTTAAAATCTTTACTACAAAATTTTTTCTTACAGAAAGCTTAGGAGATCTATAGTTGCATGGAGTGCAGTTATAAGACCTTAGTTGTAAGTCCTAGCCAGTTGTTGGAAGTTCCAAAATGCTCTGAGTCTGTTTCCTCATCTATAAAATGAATGAATGTAATAATAAATAATACTAATACTAAAATACATATAATCATCTTTATTATATGACCAGTATATAATTTATTACTATTACATGGTTATTGATAGGATAAAACAAAAAAAATATGTGAAAGGACTTTATAAATCATCAAGTGTTATAAGTATTAGTACTGTCTTTTCTGCTTTTTCTCTGAACTACTTAATTTTACAAGATGTGAATTCTTGTAAAATAATTAGACTTGTTGATATTTAAAGCAAACTCAAAAAACATTTCTGAGTAGAGGGGAAAACTTTTGAAGTTCCAGTATTTGTGGACATTTTTAAGTGTAAGAAATAAGACAATATTTAGCTGAGATACTTTGCATTTGTAATTCTGTAGACAACTCAACTTCAAAGGGATCAGATATTTTTGGGAGACTGCTCATACTGAATAATAGTGAATGCTGGAACTATTTTGGAAATTTCACTTTATAAGGTTATTTCTATAAAACTACTCAATAGTGAGTATAGGAATTGGTTGCTCTAATCTGGTCAATTAGGAAGAGATGTTTGGAAGTTGTAAAACGTCCTTACACTGAACTCTGTGTATTCTAAAAGTCCAGACAAAATAGCTCAAGAGAAGTTTGTCTGTTCTTCAAGACCAAAATGAAAATTCAACTTTATTTGTGATTTGTTTTAAGAGGATTTAGGAATGGACGATTTTTTGATAAGAACTGCTTCTCTTTACTTACCTTCACCTGCTGCATGGCTGAAAAGGTGCTGTTAGGTTTCAGTTAGAGCCCAGAGACAAGTCTATGCACAGTGAAAGTATTATAAATTTCTATGTTTATGGAGTCACTGGTGTATGAGAGGGAAATTCTCTTTAGGATTATAGAGCAATTCCAGCTAGCTTATTTTTAGCCCCTGTTGTCCCTTATTTTCTAATTCTCATAGTTTAAAATAATCGTAAGAGCAGACAACATGAGTAAATTCCAAATTTGAATGCAATGGGATGATTCTAATAGCCAGTTAATTTAATGGATACAGATTCAGTAAGGAAGAAATAATGTTTACTGGCATTATGGTTCTTTTTTCTGCCTATGGTAAAGCACCAAAAATTTTTCTGCAGAGTAAAAAACAAAAAAGGATGATCTCTAATGGCATATGAAAGAATGATACAATAAACTGCCCTCAATATACGTATCCTAAAAATAGTCAATGGTAGATAATTTAGTTCAATCTTAAAGATGAATTAAAAATTCATTAATTTAGAAAAATTAGTGAAATTTTTTTCACTAATTTCAATGTCTTCTTGTTTATTTCATCCTGTTTCAGGTATAGTCATTTCCTCTCATTTGTTCAATCTAAAAAATGATGACATTTTTCACACAGCCAAATACATATAATCTCACTTTTATTCACAACATCACAAGATTAGAAGTAACTGCTATGCTTTAGCTATTTTATGATAATTCTTAAGCAAAATAAAAAGTAATTAACTTGGACCAAATTGCAGGCTTATTTTATTCTGAGTCCACATAGTTGTACATTATAATTTATGGTATGTTATATATTGGATTCCCTTCTTCCACAATAAAAAATCAAAATAACCTAAAAAATGAAAATCAATAAGAATACTTAACATGTTTGGCGGCTTCTTGCCTTTTAGGATGTACACATGCCGGAACATGCTAATTTACTAGCTGAAAGTGTCCCAGCCTATTAGGCAGAAACTTGGCAATTTCTATAACTTAAGTGGTGCTTAGATAATTATCCACACTAAATATTAAAATAAATATTAAAATACTGACAATATTTGTTAGTATGCATTAGCAATTCTTTTAATTGAAAACAGTCTGCATTTTGAAGTACTAAACTCTTATTAAAGCAAATCATTCACTTAATTCATAGTGTCTATGCTAACATTCTTTAATAGTAACAAATATAACATACATGCATTACAGGAAGACTACACACTGTCAGTCTGATCTTCTCTCATCGGTTAAGAAATATACTCTATATTAGAAAATGCATTATTTGAAGTTTTGACCTAACACAATGGATTAAGGCTTAGACAATATTTACTTTGCTGCACTTTGATTCAGAACAGGCCATATGTGAAGACATGATCCTGACCAACTTTGCAATGTTTCTATAGTGGTATCCCAGTAAAACGATTTATATTTAAGATACTGAAATATAAAAGTTACAAAATAAACTGTAACCATATAGCTACCCATTGGCAAAAATCTGTATTTAATATATTTGGATGAATAACTCAAGTCAGCAGCAAAGTGGTTAAACATTTGTGATTTGATTTTATCTGGGTTTGGAATGTGGTTGGAGTGTCCCACTTCTAACAACTGTTTGCTAAGTTAAGGCTTTTAGTGTTTACACAGTGTTGAATGAAGCAGCCTGGTCACCAGATGTGATCGCTTCCCTCAGACTCTCATTTTTTTTTTTTCCAGTCAGATCACTGTCCTCATGGTTCCTGCTCCAACCTTCTTCCTCAGGACATCCACCAGCCTTTCTAACCTAAGTTGGGGGCAGGGGGAGAGGAAAGGGTAAAAAAAGAAAATGAAAAAGGTGCAATTATTGTCAGGATTGTTTTGGCTGAAAAAAGGACAGTATTTACCTGTGACCAAGTAGTCCTGATAGTCATGTTAAGAAACAAAGCATTACCGTGAGACACTTGTGCAGGGTGGTAAGAATTTGGGGTTGAAAAACAGCAACAACACAAACTTTAATTCAGATCCTTTACATAAATGTCAGAGATGTCGCACAAAATATATAGGATATACATTTCAATGTATTTACCTACTTGCATTAAGGTTGTATATGAACCATTTACTATGTAATGACAAGATGACACATTAAGTAAAGCAGTTTCACACTGATTCTCACCTAAGAGAAACATATTTTAATACAGAAGTACTAGCAATCTTACACTGTCACTTAGCTAAATAAGCAAAATACTGGTTGGTATACTGTACGACTCTTAGGCATGAAATTTCTTTCTTTTCCATAGACTCAGCTGATGAAAATAGGCATGAATAGGTAAGAAAATTTTCATGTCCCAGTAGTATGGAAATAATTTAAATATAAAAAAATGATTTGACAATAATATAGCCAGACTGTCTGTACTACATTAAAAAAAGTTTCTATTTCTGATTAGTACAGGCTAGCAATGACCTCTAAAGTCTTTTTAGTCAAAGAAAACCCCACCAATTACAGGGAAAACAGAGTCAAAAGTTCAGAAGTCCATTCTGCAGTGCTCTTAGGCTACTCTATGGGTGGGAGATAAATTCATGTGGATCAGTGAGTTTTGTTTAACAAAAGATGGTTGGATCAGACCATTAATTGGTTTTCTTTTTTTATTTTCTTTACTGGAAGCATAAAACCTCAACCAAAAATCTCATTTGATACTATACAAAGACAAATCTTCATTATATGTGAAAATCATGCCCAGCAGTTTTCATATACACAATCTCCCCTCCACAAAGACTAGTGACAGACAGAGTCTGGTTTGTCCCAGTTTGCCTCATTTATATGGATCCATGCATGAGGGTCTTTCACAAATAAACACAGCACCGAGCTAGACACTAAAGGAATGAGGGTGTTCTTAGTGCCATACACAATTGTTTAGACTACTTGACAGTTTCAGTAAGAAAAGGACAAATCAGCTACATACAAGTATGAAAACGAACTCAAGTTCTTGGATGATTCTGCATATAACAAGAATTCTGTTATAACAGAAAACAAGATTATGAAACAAAATATTTTAGCGTATGAAAACCTTCACTTTAAGAAATGCAGTACTGGAGGGGGGAAGGAGAATGGTGAGGGGGTGAATTCAAGTATGATATATAATAAGAACTTTTGTAAATGCTACAATGTACCTCCACCCAGCACAATTTAAAAAAAAGTAAAAAAAAGTGCAATAATAACCTTAGAGTAAAAAAGTAAATATTGCCTAATTTTGTTTCTACAAATGGGGTATAGATATCTGAGTCAGAAGACTCACGGGAAAATTCAATATATTCATAGATTGGTCTGGGTTAGTTGGACTTTCCTTAGTGGTAAAGACCAGCGCTATATTATATACTCAGAATATTGTGATTCATGGGCCTACCTAAACTTTGAGTTGTAGAGGAGGAAGGATGAAAATTTTAGTATGAATTATAAAGTTACACTGTAAGTTTATTGTTAAAATCTGATAGTAACTTGAATTAACTCTTTTTTTCCCCTGGTTCTGGGGATCAAACCCAGAGCCTGTGCATTCTACGCATGTACTATACCACTGAGCTACATCTCCAGTCCTTGAATTAACTCTTAAATGGTTCTCAGTGGAAATGTTAACAAGTAATAAATAACAGTTATTTGCATATATTGTTAAATGCAGGAAAATACTGTTTTCCAGTTTGTTAAATATATCCCTCCCCTACAAAATAATTTGCACTACTAACTAGTAAAGAAAAAACTTCCTCATAATATAAAAGTAGGTTCTATATCATGTAGTTATTATTATTACTAAAAATTCAGTCTCAGTGGAATACCGAATTACAGTCATGGATCTGTGTTGTATTACTTTTAGCTTCTCCTTTATAGATACAGGCTTGCCGTACATTAGGACATCTTTTAGTTTAGAACTCATATCTTGCTAAGGTGAAAGGCTAGGAGGAAATACTTACAAATCATGTTTTGCAATGTCTGCTCTATATTTCAACAATTACTAGGTCAACCATATTTTCAGTTTATCCAGGTTGAATAAATTATGAAAATTAGATCTCAGAAATGAGAAAAATGTCAATTACTTAGTTTTGTAAAAATTTACTGACTTCTGAAACACAATGAAGCACTTATTCCTTCCTATAAGGAATGGGATACACCTGCCAAACATAGTCCGTGCCAACAGAAGGTAGGTATGTGTGTCTGTTGAAACACCTTGCAGGATTTGCCTTGAGGCTATTCTTCACTGTCTAAATCAATAATGTTCTCCAACATTACTTAATGATATATTCACAAGGGACTCATGAGTTAGGAAAAGGGCCGGAACTAAGACTAGGATTTTCCCATTCTGAATATGAAGAAACTGAAGCACAGACAAGTAAGCTCTTTTACAAGGTTATAAGGTAAAAAATGACAAATCTAAACTTGGTTTACTTGTGATTAGTTTAGAGCTATTTCCATTAGTGTGTAGGTTACCAGACACCTACAGATTTAGGAGTACAGTTAACAGATTTCTGTCTTTATATAGTTTCATTAATTTTTTTTCTCTCAAATTCTTAGGTCAAATTGGAAAAAATATTTTATGGTGTTTTTAATTTGCTGTAATAGTAACAACACAGTGTAAGAAAGTAAATTCATGATATCACATACAGTTAGGGAATAGTAAACAGCTACAATCCATTATTTATACTAATATAATTTCTATTCAACTTGAAAACTAAATGGTAGCTATATTTAAGGTAAAAATCCTGTTTTCCTCAATTATCACTTTGATATTTTCTATGTAACTACACTATATATAATATTTTGAAATGAATAATTTTCCATCAAGTAAATAAACCATAAGAAAAATAAGCCATTTTTCCAAAGTGGCTTACTTCCATTTTTCACTCAATCTTGTGGTATATTTTGAAAGGTATGTAATACTTAATGAGTACTGTCTGTGTGACAGGAACGAAGAGAAGTCATTTACAGATTTATTTAAAAATTCATTGTAGGTGTTGGTGATGTAGTTCAGTGGCGGAGTGCTTGCTGAGCATTGACGAGGTCCTGGGTTCAATCCTTAGTACTTAAAAAAAAAAAGTCATTGTTAACACTGTGACAGATGTCATCTGTGATTAGATTAAAAAAAAAAAACAATGCAGACAGTGGGTTTTGGAGCTGGGAGGTGATGTTAGTTCTAACTTTATGTCTCAAATGTGCCATACTGCTTGAAAAGCACTAAGATCTTTAAAACTTTTTTTTCTGAATTTTTGAAGACTTGAATATGCTTATTAACTGGATACTTTTAGATATAAACACTTTTTTAAAATTTGTTTTTGGTGGGACTGGAGTTTGAACTCAGGGCTTTGTGCTTGCAAAGCAGGCATTTGAGGCATCTACCATTTGAGCCACACCTCCACTCCCTTAACTGAATACTTTTTATTGCAAAGGGGCAGAAAAGAGTGAAAAAAAAAAGTGAATTTCTCACCATCATTTAAACTGTACCAAAGTAAACATCATACCACAGGTTCCACTTGTGAAAACAATTTTTCTATTTGTCAGTGTGAGAGCAGGGGAATTCTAACTGGCTAGATAACTTTCTCACCAGGAAAAGCATTCCTATCATATAGGCAATGAAGATGCTCCATCAAACATATTTAGCTCTCACCCCCCAGGGAGAAAGAATCAGGGAAATCTAAGAGAAATGGACAGAACCATCCTTCCAGCAGAGGAGAAAATGTCATTAAACATACTGCACTTAAAGTAGAAGGATAAAGAGATTTTAAACATGATTTTTTTCTCTACCACTATGACCTTTCTTCTGTTGGTCTTTTTAATGTTGATGTATTTTATCACCTTTTCTTTCCATTCTTCATACCTTCCTCAGGTGGTATTATTAGCTCCTTTGTTGCCACTTAAATGTTCATGTCTTCCAAATGCATACCCCTATCCCAAAATGCTCTTTTGAGTTTCAGACTCACATATCCAACTCCCTTCAAGACATCTCCTCTTATTTATACTAACATATGATACTTAGCATAGCTAAAACAAAACTTACTATTTTACCTCCCATGCATGTTTCTGAATTTCTTTTTCTTTTAATGAGAACATAAAATCACTTTGTTTTTCATAAATTTAAATCCTTGTGTGGCACAGCATCACATAGATTCTGTGTCCAATGGCCTTAGCAGGAAGGTTGCTTCAGAATTTAGCCCAAACCATGCCACTGTTTTGATGGTGTTACTTTTCCCCAGATTACTCTGGTTTTGTTTGGCTTGCTGCTGGGAGTCACTGCGTTGTTCTTGAGACCCAGCTCATAGCCAGCAAAAATTGCCTTGCATCATGGCCTTCCAGACAATTTGTCTTTTAGAATCCTGTTCTATGCAGGCTTCCACAGGCCCCAAGATAGTGGAAAGACTTTCTGAACTTCTTAATTTTTTTGGTGGTACTGGGGTTTGTGAATTTCTTATCTTAATTAATATTATTCACTCATTTACTCAACTTTTAGGCTGGAAAAATTTAGATAAACTTGCCATAATGCATTTTTTCACTTCAGCTTTGATCTATGAAAGCTTTGTGATGACACCAGTAAGGTAGACAGTGGCAAGCAGTGAAAGGTTCCAATTTACCTAGTGATATAATTTGTGTTTTAGAAGGATCACACTGGCAAGAATGTAAAGATGGGAAGGAGGCTTATCTTAGTCTGTAGGTAAGAAGACCTGATGGCCCCTTATCTAAAAATCCTGGACAGTATGATGTAAATGTACTTAATGCCAATTAACTGTGCACTTAAAATGGTTAAAATGGTAAATCTTATGTTATGA